ACTAACCTTGCTTGAGGTGACACCAAAAAGCTTCACAGCAAGTGTCTGTCTGCGACCGCAACCTCACCTAGAGGAAGCCACAACCACATGTCAGAGCAGGGAAGATGACCACGGGTCATGTTCGACACCCGATGCAGAGTTCGCGAATGGAAGCAAAATTTTGCGAACGCTGCTGTTCGTGAACAGAAGCATTTGTGAACTGAGGTATTACTGTATTCCCATGGTTTAGAGTTCAGCAGCCATTTTGTGCATTGGCACTATCCCATGAATCTGTGCAGGATCACAAGAACTATAAAATACAAATTCTAAAAATTAAAAATGACTAAAATATTCTAAGATCTATGCAAGAACACAAATATTGCAATATTGGCTATAAACATTTCAACTATTAAAAAGGGATAATTTTTACTTCATTAATTTTGATTCATTTTTAATGCAGCTATGAATTTAGGCATATCCTAGAATCTTATCTTCTAAGTATTACAAAAAATTCACCAGAGACTATGAACCACTTGCATTTTACAAGGCTGTATAATATTGGAACTCAGTAAGGAGATTTTTTTGCATTAGAAATTGCATGAAAGTATAAGTTACATTTGATGAGAAACTAACTACTCTTTTTTATTTCATCTTTTTAAATACATGTTCCTGAAATTTGAAATATTCAAATTTAACTTAAGAAGCAGTGTTAGAAAAATGAAGAAATTTAATACATGGTGCTCCTGTGGAAAAGCCTGTTTTAATATATATATCTTTAATTCAGTCCATACCAACTATCTTTCATAGGACACTTCTAAGACACGTTCTTGCTGTAGAAGTAAGTAAAGAAGATAAAGATGAAATGCAAGATAAAGTGAATAGAACTGACTCAGATTCTATATCAAATTTCTATGACAGCACTGAGAATATACCTCCAGCATCTCAGACAGATACAGGTGGGTAATACCAAAATTAAGTTTGTAAAACTCAGGTGAAAGCTTTACCTATCAGTTTGTGTAAATTGCAGGTTAATCATCTGCCTGTTTACTCAGGAATAATTCTTAAAGTTTGAAGAGGCTCAAACTATAATTTTGAAACTGAAATTTTAAAAGTAAATTACAATATGATAATGAAAAGGAAGGAGTAAAATATTAAGTTTGAGTTATATCAAAAATAGCTATTAGGATTCTAGAAAAGTAAAGTGATGCCAGACCTGACTAGGAAGTGGATCTGTCCTATTTTCAGTGCAAAAAAATTATACTTGCAGCAAGCTCAGTTTTTTAATACAGGATTAAACTTTGGCCAAACAGAATCATATTGATCAGTCTTTCATCAATAGAGGGCCAAATAAAAAATAGAAAGTAAGTACATGTAATTAATCTAGGGAAGTGCAGTCTTTGAATCATTACAAAATTTTTTGCTAAGCCTAGTGTTTGATAGATTCATAGTTCATGAGTTCATACATTCCGAAATTTAGTTCAGAAATCACAGTCACGTTATTATTTTTCTCAAAACTATATCAGTATTAAACTGGGACCACAGAGCAAACCCATATCATAGATACATGCGTCCCCACAATCATTTTACTTTTCCAGGATAAAGAGTTTGATAACTTATGTTCTCTGTGATGTCCAGTAAATATGGAAAAAAGTGGTAGTTTGTGGAATTAATCTCATTTAAAGATGCTAAGAAACATGCTTAATGTTCTTTAAGACCCTTATTGGTTTGTCAGTATGGAACATTCTAACTGCTTATTGCAGATGACTTATATCCATTATAAAAGTCTTTAATTTTCTGTAGGTTTAAAATGTCCAAAATGTATTTCTGAACAAATGATAATTTAGACGTTTTAGATGTTGCTAATTTGTCTATTTTAAAGTTCAAATTGTACAGAATTGAATGTACTGGAATCCTGTATTTTTGAGCACTTTTTTTTTATTATTTTGGTGCCTTCAAGTCAGTGTTGAGTCTGTTGACTGCCTGGACTAGTCCCTGCAGTTTTCTTGGCTATTTTTTGGAAGTGATTTGCCATTGCCTGTTTCCTAGGGCTGAGGGGGAGTGACTGGCTCAAGGTTACCCAGGTGGATTTCTTCCTAGGGCAGGATTAGAACTCAGAGTCTCCTGGTTTTTAGCCTGGTGCCTTAACCACAACACCAAACAGTTCCTACAACTACCTGATCTAAATTATTGCTATTTCTATTTGCCCACAAGTTACTCCCTCCCAAAAAGATGTACCTGCAATTTTCAAACTGGATTGTTCCAAAATGTGATTTTAGTGGATAAGGATAAAATTGTATTTGTGTTCAGCATTTTCCAAATATGCCTTGTAACTTTTAGTGCTGGAACTATAGAACTTTGACTAATAAAGGAACCTACCCTCTGCCACATTATCAAAAGTGCCACATAGAAAATAGTTAATTCTGCCCATAGTAGTTTTTTAACTCAATCATCTGAATTCCATAAGGAAGTAGAAGTTTAAAATATATACCCAATGATAAAGCTGAAATCTTTATCTTATCTGATAGCCATAATTGAAATTCCTTTTCAGTCCTGTTTATTGAGAGAGGGGTGCAGTCAAAATAGGAAAATATGGCATCTAGTAAAAAGTCGGGAATCTGGTAATGATATACAATACATATATTAGCAAGATGTTTATACTGTCTCATAGTTAATTATATTTGTATAATTGTTTTGAATATCTCTGTATTGTAACTTTTAAATAGTGGTTCTTTTTTCATCCTACCAACTTTATATAATGCTTTACACTATGTTTTCTCTTTGATAAAAATTGAACCCTATACCTACCACTATTTATTACAACTGAATTTATTTTGTTACAAATTCAGTTAAGTTTTCTCTTAATTCAGGTATGCCATCTTGCATTTCTGCAAAAGCCCAAGGTAACAATGTTTGCCTACAGTGATAGACAAATTATTAACAAGTCCCTAAACAGGTAGCAGCAACTTGTTTGGGCTTGGGTCAGGCACAGTTAGTACTAAGATGGGAGACCAAAAATATCAGAGTTGTAACCTAGACTAGGAATTCCAAAAACATTCTGGAAGAAGACAGTGGCAAATCACTTCCGTACTGTTGCCAAGAAAGTTATATGGATGGGGCTATAAGGAGTCAAGCTTCTACCTTTTTTGTAATAACTGCCTGTATTTAAGATCTATCCAAAATACTACTTTTGATCTATTCCAAGTATATAGTATATTGGTGTATTAATTCCTTGTAGAACACAAGTCCTGTCTTGTCCTGCCTCTGTTCATCTGCAACTGCTGGATAAGGTGATTTGGAGTGGAGTTCCATCAGCATACTGATGATATCCAGTAGTAAACCCAAGGAAGTGATTAATACTCTTGCCTAAATTTCATAGCGGGCAGGATGACGACTAATAAGATAAAATTTAAATCCAGACAAGAAGAAAATGCTATGGAATTGATGTTTAGCCTGTTTGGGATGGAGATATATACCCCCGCAAAGAGCAGGTCCACAATCGGAATGCTTCTTGATCCTCAGCTGTCACTGAACTAGCAGGTGATGGCTATGCACGATTAAGGCTGTGCTCAGGGACTTTTTACGAGCCAGTCAGTTTTGACAAATTATGTGTGTCTTGGTTTTCTTATCCTGACTATTGCAATATGCTATATGTGAGGTTTCCCTTGAAAAATGCCTGTAAGTTGGACTTGGTGCATAACATGGCAGCTAGACTGTTAAATGGTACCATGATGCCTATACTGAAAAATGTGGACTAGTTGCCAACTGCTTGCTAGGTACAGTTTAAGATGCTGTTAACTTTTAAACCTTAAAAGACTCCAAAGACAATCAAAAGTGCCTCTGTCATGGTGTATCTCTTTGGGTATTAAACAATATATTTAATTGTAAGTAGGGCAGGCCCTTTTGAAGATGCCCCATTACCAGAAGCCTGTCTTTTCTGGCAAGTAGGAGAGTGTTGCCTCCTGGGCTGGTTCCAGATCATGGAATGCACTTGCTTGGGAGTTATATGTGGCCCACAGTTTTGGTATTTGAACAATTTTTAAAGACCCATCTCTTTTCCTAGCATTTGAAATGTTAGCTTTAATTTAAATTTTTAACCTTTTAGAATCTGTTTTTGTTTTATAACATTCTAATAGCTGTCTTGCTAGTATAAAGGGATGGTAGAAGTTGAATAAACAATATATTTAATTGTAAGTAACCCATGTATCATTTGATTAGAAGAATTTTATTAGGATTATATTATTTCATTATAACCTTTCCATATAATAAATTTTATGAACTATATTTACTGTTTCCAAGATAGCAGAACTTGTTATTCATTGTGGAAACATCTGGTTTAATAAATCTGTACATTTACTGTATAAATAGTAAATTAGTTCTCTTTAAATATAGCTTTGCTTGTCATTGATGCATATTTTAAATTCTCAGGTTGCCAGAATTATTCTTGTGAAGATCATCTAGACTCTGGAAGCGGAATTATTTCAGTTGATGAAGACAGGCAAATTGGTTATTCTGTACCTAGAAATGTGTCTACCCGTCGTCGTTATTTAAGAATTAATCCCCCAAATGAACTCTTTGTATCAGATGTTGGCATTCCAGAGTTCAGTGCTGATCTTGGCAAAGAAGACAAAACTTTGTCTAAGACAAGGAACAATAATGAAAAATGTGATGAAATATCTATTAGTCAGGAGGACAAGCATGGCATAAACACAGATAAAAGAGAATCAGATATGCAAATTGAATCAAATGCCACAGCCTTTTTAGAACAAAGTAATTTCAGTAATATTGGTGGCTTGAAGACTCAGAAAGAGAAGGGTCAGAAGAGAAAATTGGTAACCACAAGAAATGTGCACAGGGTAAGTTCCAAAAAAGGCAAACACGGCAATAAGCAGACTGGTTCTAAACAAAAAGCAGATACATACATTAGTTCCAATGATGCTTATGATTTTGTATGTGAGGAGTCTGTTCATAGAACACCTTTCCGGCAAAACAAACAAAATGAACATGTTGAGGATGGACATTATACAGAAGAAGCAGAAATCTGTAGTGGTGAATCATCTGTTTCAGAAGAGGATCCTAATGACAGTCTCTATGTGCCTTACTCAAAAAAATCAAAATCCAAGGAAACTTTAAACACTGGAACAGATGTAATCCCAGTATGCACAAGGCCACGATCAAAGAGAATTATGTGTGAGCAACATGATAGAAATGCTGAGGGGAAACTAAGGAATACCAGAACACCTGAATCTCATCTGGGTAAGAAAATTGTTGCTTGAAGGTCATATTTACTGTACTTTGAAAAACGTGTATGTTGATCGGTATAGAAATGAACTACTTTAGAAGATTAGACTATGGTTTTAAATCTCCAGTATTGCAGTCAAAAACAGTACATAAGTGCAGATTCTCTTAAATGTTCATGCTTTGTTTCCTAATGTTTTTTTAAAAGATTTTTAAATATTTTTTATAAATATGCACAAGTGCATTATTTCCCTGCTCTAGCCCTTGTTACCTAGGATTATAAAATTGCACATACTTTGGAGATAACCAACAAAGCATTGAACTTTTCTTTTAAATGAACAAACTATAGTGGTCATAATTTGGGAAGAACTAAATATTGGTTTTATTCAGTAATATATTGGCATTTTAAAGTTGAATGAAAGTTTCCTTCAGATTACCATTGCGTGAACTGGGGGTGAATAATAATGGTAACAAATTAAAAGAAAGTGACAATACATTCTTTCAACAGATGAACCACGTGAGGCACTTCAAAAACATCACCATCTCAGTGATATTACCAATGTTGTATCAACTTCTTACCAAACAAGAATTTCTCACCCAGCCTTCAGTACTGCAGTAAAAGATACTTCTCACCAAAGACGTAGAAGTACTAGTTATGTGAGTTATAAGGAGCCAAGTCTCAGCGGGTGAGTATCTTTGTTTCTGGATTCTCTCAAAAGTCAATTACATAGTCTTATCGTAGTTCTTTCAACTGTAAGAACTACATTAATTTCAAATATTTTGGTATAATTTGAATTGTTTCAATTTATGTATTTTAATAAAATACTTTGCTAATTTGTTTTGATAGGAAACTCAGAAGAGGAGACCCTTTTACAGATACTAGCTTCCTGGATTCTCCCATTTTCAAAGAGAAAAAGGGCACCAAATCCAAATCTCTTAATAAAAAGTTGCTGTCCAGATACAATGAAGCATTTGTTGGTTGTCATTAAGAAACTTTTTATTGGAGCACATTTAGCTTGTCATTTTTATTACGCTGAAAAAGTATATTAACCAAAATTCTGAAGGTGAAATTTTTGTATATGATTTTCTAGTTTAGATTTATGAATACTTTGATAATATTTCACAACACACATACATTGCCTTCCTGTTTAATTTATAGATATATTTAGATAGTTGTAAATAACCTATTATCATTTTAGTGGGAGTTACTTTTCCCTCCTGAACACAAGAAAATAATTGGTTTGAAATGCAGATTATTATTTACTTGGTATCAGATGCAGCTAATTTTAAAAGTAGAGCCTTTCATTAAAAATAAAGTTAAACTTTGTAGTTGTCTTCTGAACTATTATTTACTTATGTGGCATTTATAGTAAAATGTTTAATAACTTTGATTTGGCTTAATTAGCAATTCTAACAGTGTTTTCAACCTCCATTTTCTTGCAATTGTTCTAATATTTTATAAATAATCTCAATCTGTAGTCTTGTACATATTTAGAAATAAACACCAGTGAACTCTGTAGGGGTTCTGGGTAAATATGGTTTACTTATTTGGCTTATATTTCACAGCTGTCCAACTTCCATATTGTGAGATAGCCTTTTGTGATGCATCTCAAGTTATATGCCAGTATTTTTATTCACAGTTACTTTAAAGCAACTATCAGTCTTCTGATGGCACTTGCAGCAAAAAGAATGAAAAGCAGGAACCTTTGTGAACTCTAATTTTATTACAAGAACTTTAACTAAAAGTTACATCCTAAATTGCTTTTTCCTTTTTTTGTGTGTCTTTAGATTGCAAGCCTATGGTATCAATTGTTTAACTAGTTTTTCTGAGATGTTTTACGGGAGAATGTGAAAATCATAAATAAATAATGTGTTCTGATTTTATTTGAAAACTCATATTAATCCACAGGAAAAGTAGAACATGCAATTCCATAGGATTTGCTATTGCACAGTGAGTTCCGGTTCTTATTACCTGAATGTGCCATAGCACACTTATATTCCACTTCATGAAATGAGAGGTGCTCACAAACAATGAGTATGTCTGGTATTTTTATATGCAAATTACAAAATAGCACACAAGATCAATATTATACATATAATTTAAAACCATTTTATACCAGTACAATAAATAATTTTACAAATGTAAAATTTCAGTTAAAGTATTTAAAACACGTACTGTATATAACTTTATTGCACAATATCTATGAAAATAATCTTTAAATTAGAAACCAAAATGTTCTCAATATAGAAGAGACTCTAATTTCAAGACAATAAGAATCTTTGAAAATAACACTTTCACAGGATATCAAGCTTTAGAGGTGATTCTGTTGGCCCAGTTTACAAAATACTTGAAAATTACTATTTAAATATTCTAAAACAAAGTTGCATCATTGTACCTTAAATACAAAGCCCATTCTGATTTATATAAAGCACTAAGGCATTTCTATATTACCATTTTGTCTATTTTGTACCATTTCCTTCTAGGAAGGCTCATCTAATCAGAATAAACATTACTACAGGCATTGTGCCAAAAACTCCTCCTTTTGTAATGTACTTTACTTTCTACAACAGTTTACTAGTGAAATATTTCAGCATTAACAGACAATATGAGACTTCAGTAAATTTTCAATATATATACTAGGGATATCTTACTTTCCCCTCCAGTGTTGTGAGATACACTGTAGAAACTGAGTGGTTAATGAGTATGGCTTCCCTAAAAACTAATCACATCAAATGAAGTTTATTTCTTACATATAATGTAGGAAACAGCTCAAAAATATGTGGGATTAATAATAAAATTCTAGGAACTTTTTTGTTAGAGTTTTAATAAAAAAAAGACTAGTATAGTATCAGTCCGTGTGGAAGTTAATACATGTTAACAATGGGAGAAGAATATACTAAAAACTGCTTTTATAAAATTGTGTCACCTATGGCCAAATGCAAAGCAAGTTGTAGGTAACATGGCATTGGGCTGGATGCAGTTGAGCTCTGAGCTGACCACTAAAATCGGTGAACCTTGTTAGTTATCACTTCAGGTTTCAGGGCATATATTCTAAGTATGTTTAAGTCTACTACCACTTTACAATGTGCAAATAGCTGTGAGAAAAACTTGGGTATATCAGCACCTGTTTAAGTGGGAAAGATACTCCATCTACATTAAGATTAGATGTAGTTTCCTATCAATCAGGTACAAGTAGTCCTCGAGTTAGGACCATTTGTTCAGCGACTGAAGTTATGATGGTGCTGGAAAAATGGACTTACGACTGGTCCCTAAGTTATGGCCACTGCAGCTCCCCCACGGTGACGTGATTGAGATCTGGGCACCTGGCAATCCACACTTACAACCAACTGCTAAGCACCCTGTATGATCACATGATTGCCATTTGCAACCTTCCCTGCCAGCTTCCCACAAGCAAAGTCAATGGGGAAGCCGTCAGGGGAGGCTGCAAGTCAGTTGGGTAAGTCTCCCCCACCCACCTCGGCCTTTCTTTGCTCGCATGCATCACACCATCCTCCCCCTTTGTTTGCATGTGTGCACTGTGTCCACTCACGCACCTGGGCCTCTTTGTGCTGTGCTGCAGCTTGGGCTTTGCAGGAGAAAGGCTTTGCAAGAGGAAGGAGGAAGCCTCATGAACGCACACCAGGAGCGCCCTTGGACAGCCCTTCCGTGTCTTTGGAGTGCTCCTTCAGCACTGGAAGTGCCCCTGAAGATTCCTCAAGCGAGGGAAGGAAGGAGCTGGCACATGCAAGCCAGCTAAGGGGGAAGGATGGCACTGGTGCATGCAAACAAAGTGAGGAGGGTGCTGGTGTGTGAGCAAACAAAGGGAAGGAGGGTGCAGTGTGTGTGAGTGAGCAAAGGGGGAAGGAGAGCCAAGAAGCCCCTGAGCTGCAGCATGGCAAGCAGCACCTGAGCTGTGCAATTCTGGGCTTGCTTGCTGCCCTGTAAAGCAGGGTGCAGGGCAGCCAAAAAGGCAGAGATGGGGGGGAGATAGGTGGGTGGGAGGAGTTGGAGGCAGTCCCTTACCTTACTGAGTCTCAAGGCCTGGAGGGACCAAGCCTGGAATGGCTTGGATTGGGGTGGGTCCTTGGTTAACTGGTGGAATTTGCTAAACAGCAGCAATGGGGAGCCCCGGGACTGCCATCGCTAAGCAATGCACTCATGTTACATCTTGCTTTACGATCACATGGCTTAGTGATGGAAATTCCAGGCCCAATGATGGTCGTAAGTCGAGGACTACCTGTACTACTGAACACAGTGTGCAGTTAAATGCACATTCTTCACGGATGTATGCTTTAGGTGTATGTGCATCAATTAACATGCAATATACTCAGGGCTAAGCCCTGTATGAAAATCCAATCTCTTGTCCATTCCACCCATTAATGCAGCACCTATTGTACTTTTGAGGGCAAAATGGCTTTCATGCATAAAGGTCCGTACAAATCTATAAAGACAAAGCTATTGCTAGATTGGGTTCAATAGTAGAAATAGTATTGTTTTAAATTTATTGACTCTACCAAAAGACTAAGCAACAGTTTGGAGCTAGCACAGACTTTGAGGTCCTTTTCAGAACTTGACCTAAGTCAGAATGATGCTACATTTTCTTGAAATGCAAATATTAAGAACCAAATTCATAGAGGAATTTTAACTTGCACCTAATAAGGGAATTCCATTTTTATAGCTTAAAGTAATTCTTTCTCTCTCATAGCACCTTCTTCTTAGTTGAATGTTTAAT